TGGTTGCTGTCATCACAGTTGTAGGGTGAATCTGTGAGGCCTCCTAACCCACACATGAGGGAGATGGAGCATTAAATAATTCTGTGGCTAGTTGTGTTCACTTACTCTAGTTCTGCTGTTCTTGAATTCATAATACTTGAAAGAGCGTGTTGGGCTCCCATGAGTGTAGGCTTGATACTTCAGACTTGAGTTAGTCTGAGCTGGAAGATTTCAAAATCTTCCAAGCTGCCAACTTCAGGTCAGGCGCTGCGGCCCGGCAACCTTCCTGCCGTCTTTCACACTGGAAACGACCGTGTTGAGAAATGTGTGCTCGGCACGTGTCTGTGGCAGCTCAGTGGCCTACATTTTTGTGCAGTGAGTTGTATGCTGCCTGTTGAATGTGATTTCTCCCCCCCCATTACTATTTGGGGGGTGAAGAGGTTTGTTGGCAAATGCTAAAATATTCTCTTCCCTGCAAAAGTGCTCGATTTAATCTAGTTCCATAGAGGCTTTGTAAGGGCGCAGGTGGACTTTTCCTCCACACTTCATCAGAACTGATTGTTACCAAATATCAATGAAGATGGTCTTAATTGCTCAGTGGATGGATGGATGGGTGTTTACCTCACACCTGAGCGATCTGTGATGGAACGTCCTGGCTGCAAATCAGGTGGGATGGAAAGGCAATTACACCTGATGCTTTTTTGGAGGTGATGGCAGTTTTTTTTCACCCAGTGGGTTTAATGTTGCGTTTGCCTGAACTGTGCTAATCTGGCATGTAGCTATTGGCTTTTGAACTGCTTTTGGCCAGTGCCAAAGCCTTTTCTGAGTGGTGCTTTTGCTTCAAGGGGATGAGGGAGCAGAGGGAAAAAAATTCAGCCCTAGTTCTTGCATCGTGGATTGTTGTGGCATCCCTACATATCTCAAAGTCACTGGGATGTGAGATGACATAAAAGTAAGGAATCCGGAATACATTTGAGAGAAATGACTTGTATGTTGCTTTCTTTGTCTGTTCTGGACTTGCTTGAGTTTTATTTTTTTTGTGTGGACTCTTAAAATATGAGATGTATCAAAAATTATTTTTTCAAGGGAATACTGGGGCTTTGAGATGGTCTGTCCTGCTCCTTCTGCACCACGCCTCAAGTGAGTGGCTCGGTTTATGGATCACAGGTGGCGAGTGATCTGACTGGCTGCTCCTAGCCAGGGTGGCTTTTCCTTCTGTGACACCTTGGGGTGGCAGGGAGAGAGAGGATATTTGCCCGTCTTTTGGGTAATGGGATCAGAAAATAAGCAGAGCTGTCTGTACTTTGGACAAAAATACCTTTGAGTCTGGTTCTTACTGGCAGAAGAGTGTCTTGTTTGGTTCTTACCCTCTCCTGTTCTTGGCAGTCTCACTTTCCGTACAACACGTGCATTTGCGGCGCTTACTGGTTCCCTCTTCTTACACCTGCTCTTCTTATAACCTGCCTTATGTACTGCCTGAATCTGAAGTTCTGAGAATGCTCTGAAAAGGAAGGACTGTGGCTTGTTGGACCTGTCCTTTGCCATCTTGAGTACCTTGAAAGTGGATGAATATCCTGAGACTTACTGAGAGCGCTCTGTGTTTAAAATCCCTTCCTATTATTAGGCTGTGACTTCTCATTTCTGTGAGGATGGAGGGCTCCTAAGACTAATTTTTCTTTATCCCTTTGCAGATTACTTTTTCACATCATCCTCAAATAGATTTAGGGGTTTGCAATTATGTTAGGAAAAAAATTTAGGAAAACCATGTGTGGCGTGAAATTTAAATGGTCGTGGGTGGCTTTTCTACTTCATACAAACCTCTGGAGAAGTGTCAGTCACACAAACTCAAGTATTCTGCTCGATTAATGGGAAGAGTGGCAGAAGCACAACAATTGTCAGCTCCTTACTTTGTACCCTGCTAATACCTAGAATTTGGTGATTTCATTGACTGCTCTTCTTCTGCTGGACAGCATGGAGAGGTTCTTCCCAGAAGCTAAGCCCCTTCTCTGGAAAGCTGAATTCTTCAGATACTGGTGTTTCAGTCCCGCTGTGCCGGGTGAAGAAGCTTCATATTTAACAGTGGTTTTGGCATTACCCCATTTTTAAAGGGAGTTAAAGGTACAGGAGGACAGAAGTGCAAGTTATAGGGAAGCGTGTATCCTTCACACAACTTCATGGGTTTTCTTTGTTTTCTTTGGCTGTATTGTACCAGTTTGTGGCTCAGGTTTGTGCTGTGTATTTTAAAGTGCTTGTTGGAGAGCTTAATGTGGGGTAAATTAGGTGCAGAAAAATCTGTGGTGAGGTGCTTTTTTTTCTTTTTTTCCCCTAGTGTATTTCAGACCTTACTAAAATAGATGCATTGGGTTTAGGGGGGAAAAAAGGGAGGGGGGAAGACTGGCATACAGCGGGACAAAAGCGGTGGCTAGCAGTACATTACTCAAGGTCATTTTGTCAGATAAGGGCTAGGTCTGCTTACTTTTGCTGTGTTCTAACTTTTGTGCTTATTCTGAACCTATAGTAAAGACTGAGGTTCCCACTTCAAGTTGAATATAAGAAGTAAAAATTTATTTTCCACTGCTACAGCTACTTGAAAAAGCTCAACTCTTAATTTTGCAGGGTATGTTTTCCTGCAAACAAGAGGTGGTGTGTTGTCTGCCTGTAATCTAGTGGCAGCTGGGAGGCTTTAGAGATAAGCGTGCAGGTTTAAATAAAGGAAGAGAGAAGGAAAGAAAAGGAGGAAAATAGAAGGAAGGGGGGAGAAAGGAAACATCCCAAAAGCCGATAATGTAAAAATTGCTTTGACTATTTTGCCTTCTACTTGGAGGGTTCTGTGCCGGGGCGATAACCGCGCTGAGCACAAGTAGGGGTTTGCAAATCTCTCCCGCTCTGGGAGCGAACAGCTTTAGTGCTGGTGATCTGTTCACACCCACCCTTGTGCTTCACGCTAGCGTCTGTCTGTAGGTCAGCTTCTGCTATCCACCGCTTAACTTTTTTTCTTTTCCTCAAGTGTGTGGTGTGTGATTTCGGCTGCAAATTGTCAGCTAGCAGTTCCCACAACTCACAGATTTTATTTTTTTCCCAAGTAGATAACTACTAACAGGAAGAGAGTTCATAAAAGGCATGTCCAAAATGCTTCAAAATATGCCAGGGTCTGTTATACCTGACCCTTGCGTTTGTAAGTTATTCTCTGAAAGCTGTTAATAGATTGTCATAAAATACATTTTTATTTTTTTTCAGTTTATTTTTCAGCACTGAAGTAGTCAGGAAACATCTATGCTCTTTGTACCTTCATTAAAATCCTCTCCATCCCAAACCTAAGGGGAAAGCTTGTGGGCAAAGGGCTGGAACCATGGATGCGGTACAGTGTTCAGCAAAAACAGCAGGGCATCACCTGGCACCTCCCTAGTGTGGAGCAGACAAGGTGTGTTAATGCTTTCCAGTTCAGATTTCTGTGGGCTTATTTGTTTTTGGAGGTGTTGAGTTTGCTGCTTCTGCAGGAAGGTTTTATTCCCTAGCTCCTGGCATTTCTGACACAACAAAGTTGTTGACTTTCTAAAAGAGGACAGGACAGAATGGACTATGAGAAGAAAATGGTCAAAACTTGGAGTCCTTTTCATGCAAGGCATTGAAGAGAATGTTTTCTATTCTCTTTCTGAAAGCAGTGCCCTCAATCTTTCAAGATTATTTCAAATAGCTTTTTTTCAGTACCCTGTGGTTCTGATTCTTGGGCAGTAGTTTTTTCCACTGCTGCAGCAGTCGATAGTGTCAACAACCAGAGCTACTGTAGATGCCTTTCTGCCGCAGTAAAACTCAAATTTTAGAAACCCTTTTAGTTCTATTTGTCATTTGCCCTTGTCTTCATTTAAAACGTATCAGTGTAAAATGCTCTTTCGCCTGTTCCTGTTGCTTATTCTCTGGTGAAATCTCAGTTATAATAGAGTGAGATCAGACTCCTAGTAAAGATCCTATTCAATGATTTTCTTTTTGCTGGAAAAGGAAGCAAACGCTGTAGACTACACCATGCTTTGTATTTGTTCTGTAACTGCTTTGTTCTGCACTCACTTAACCGTAGCCAGGCACTTTATGTAGGGAAGGGGTGCAGTTTGCCCCTCCCTGAGGGGCCGTTAACTCGGGTGCAGCACCCAAGTAACGCACCCACATGTTTCTAGAGCGGGCTTACCTCGCTTAGCTTGGAGAGCTTCTGTCAGCAGCTGCCCGCACAGATGTCTCCCAAATGCCATTAGAGATGAGCTTAACTTTTTACTTTTATTGAGTGGTGGTTAGGTCTCTCTTTCACCTAGTTTAGTTGCTTGCCTTGGTCCCCTTACCTGGTGCCTGACCGTCTCCTCTTTCCTACAATACCCTCCGTGCGTTCGGGAATAGCAGTTACCCCTCGGTAAGGGCTGGAAGCAGAGGCACTGGCAACCTTAGTCGTGCCCCTGCAGGATATTGAAACTACTTCTGGGCTAATAGTTTGCCCACTGGCTTCTTCTTTGTACAGTAAACACAGGGTGATCCAGTCTTTTTGACAAAGGAGTCCCAGCCCTGACCCCGTGCTGTGTTTTCACGTTCTCCTCCCTCCGCTCCCCTCACTGGTGTGCGAGTGTGCATTTCTACGGACCTGAGGAGGACACGTATGTCTTCCTACATGGTTATGGTGGTGACAGCTTCTCCAGGACAAAACTGGTGAGCTAGTTTGAACTCTGCAGGATTTAGCTTGTCATCTGTCTGTTGAGGGAATAAACCTGAATATAATGTTCCAGGGAGTAAATACCTACTTATCCTCAGGAAGAGAAACAGGGTGAATGCAATCGTAATTAAACAAATATTCAGAGCAAGCAGAACATTGTTTACCTGACGAGTGAAGCACTGCTCTCTTGGATAAGTTATAAAGCCACCTGTGTGGGAAATAGCTGAGAAAAGGTTGGAGCAGGGTAAACGCCTTACTGGAAGAGAGTGTTTAGCTGTGGTGCCTGAAACTTCAGGTATGCTAATCAAGTTTTTATTCCCTGTTTTTATAGATTGCTGCTAAAATTGGAGATATTCCTCACTTGAATAATTCTACAACACTTGTGGACCCATCAGTTTACGGTTATGGAGTGCAGAAACGGCCCCTGGATGATGGCGGTAAGCTGGCTGTGATTAGTCAACCTCATGGATGCAGCTCCTGAAATTCATCTGTGGAGACAGTTGTCTCCTTTACGGACAGAAATCAGTGCATCTTTCTGTGCTGTTCAATCCTGTCTAGCTAGCACAGGGCCCTTGGCTGTCAGTATTACTAATGTGAAGCAATTCCTTCTTAGTTCATGAACACTGGGAATCAGCAAACAAGCTCTGTAATTTAAATCTTGTTCTGTGATATTTGAGGGAGGATGGGTTTTAGGAGGCTGTGCTTTTTGGAACTGTGCTGGAGCCCACGTGTGGAGTGCCAGGTGTACTTAGTAAAGCTGTTCTTCCCTGGTGGCCCTTATTTCCTAAGAGCAGGCGGTGTATAGGATGGACAGTGTTATGTGTGCTCCTTCCCAGGTGTAACCGTGGTCGCAGCACAGAAGTTGAGCCTCTGTCAAAAGTTCAGATTGCTTTATACGTGAATTTTAAGGAGAAAAGGTATTAATGTAGGTTGATGCAAGTTGGAAGGAAATTTCCTGTATTAGGCTTAGCTTTTTTCATAATTATTCTTTGAGAATTCATAAATCTCTGAGGAATTTACTGGGTGGACCATATCTAGTAATTGTAATGAGTTACTGTTGTATGAAGTGTTACAAGTTTGAAATAAGATATTAGTTTATCTTTGGTGGGAGCAACAGTAAAAACAGGTGTGGGTTGTTTTGGTTTTGGGGTTTTTTTACAAGTCTACACACTTCTTGTAACTGCACAGCATTGAACTGTCCTATCTGCTGCTGTATAGATGCAAAGAGCTCACCTTTCCCTGTGGTTACTTATAAAAAAAATAAAAAGTTGCTGCGTCTGCCTACCTTTAGTGGTACAGGTAGCCTTGCGGGGTGATTCTCTCCGCTACAGATATGATCAGGAGCACTGAGGAAACAAAGCTGCCGCTTAGCACTTCATTTGGAAAATGCTTTTTTCGGTCTGATACAAGGGCTGAAAATACTGCACGTCTGCGTCTGAAAAGGTCTGAAAAGGACATGCTGGGGAACAGGGAGAAGTTTCTTTGACGTGGAGCCCCTGGCTTGCTACCATGGCTGTGGCCTGAACACACGCCACAGCTCACCTTGTTCTCTGGTGCTGGCTCTGTCTGAGCAAGAGGTTGCTGCTCCGTTGGAGAGAAGGGCTTTGTCAGGGTGAGCCCCTGCGCCTCGTGTCTCGGGTTGGAGCATCACGATGGGTGTGGGATGCCCGAGGCCTGGTGTTACTGGTGCGTGCTGGTTTCTGTACGGGAAGGTGCTGGGCTGGGCGGGCTGGTCAGCGTTGAGGAGTGCCGAACAACTTTGGGCTGTGGGTGGGTAGCTTAGGTAAGTGGCCCTGTGTGAATAAGAATAAAAGTAGCTTTCTAGGAACTAGTCATTCATAACGTTAGTCCTGCCTGTTTCTTTCATTGACTCATTAGACTGAACTGAGAAATCTGATGTCTGGACAAAATGTTTTGGTTTGGTTTGTTGGTTTTTCTTTTTAACAAACTTAACATGTGAAATGGTTGTAGCACTTAATGACAGCGCAAGTTAGACTTTGTACTTGTACTTTTACTGGTGAGCCCTGTTCCACGTCAAGCCTTGTTTGTGTTGACACAAACCATGTGAACACACTTGTGGTCTGGGCTATAAATGTGTGTATCTGCTGGTTTCTTGTGCTATGATAGATAACTCCGTGCAGCAGGTATTGTTCCTGGGAGAGCCTTCTGGAGCAGCTGCGCTCCTGACTCAAGTGTCGGCAGTTCTTCTGCAGGTGGAAAGACTTACGGGAGTTTGCTCACCGTGAAGTTGAGTGCTCAGTCTTGTCCCTTGCTGTTTTGAAGTATCTCCAGTGCTGTATTTGCCCTTGGATTGTTCATATACACATTGGCAGGTTTTAGGACTTTGTCCAGCTCTTTTCTAAGATGTCACAGATGAGATTTTTGGGAAATGATGGAAGTATTATTTCCAGGTGTTGGAATTTCACAGAGATGGTAGTTGTCAGGGTGCGAACAAGGGTTGTGTCGGTTCTTTCAGCTTTGGTCGCCTTGTTTTTTATTTCCAATGGCATTAGTAAGCCCTGTGCTGAAATGCAGTGGTGTGACGAGTTCCCCGTGTAACCCCTCCCACACCAGTGACCTGGCAAGGGAGCTCCTGAAGCCACCGGTGTTTCTTGCTCCGTGTTTGTTTGCGGCGTGATCCACATCTTAGTCTTAGGCTAGCAGCTCTTGCTGCCATTGCATTAACGCTCTACAATGAAGCTTTAGCTTTAAGCATTTGGCAGGTGGCAGTTACTTTTAATACGACACTTAAATTGAGAAAGCGCTTCCCATTTTGATGATCTTTCAGTTTTCTGTTAGCTGTGAACAAGCGCTGTTGGGATTGCATGCCCACGCTTTTCTCCATTTTTGCTTGACTGTGAACCACGGTTCGGAGACGTTGTCAAGAAGCAATTATTTATGCTGTTACGCATGCTTTAGAAATTTTATAGTGTGCGGCTTTGGATACATTCTGCTGATCTGGATAGCTTGGAAACAAATCTGGTGGTAAATCTTTTGATTGTTTACCTCTGTGTACTGCACGTTCACGGCTCGCTGCAGGGCTCGCTGCAGTGTAGCTGTTAGAAAATTACTTTTGTTCCTAATACTCCTGGAAAAAATTGGGTTCACGGGAAGTATTTAAGGTGACAAGAAAACTGTCTGTCTTTCAGGAAAATCTTATTCTGCCTGTCCATTTTCGTAAACAGCTGCTGGCGTGCCTGATTGATGTCAGCCTGGGAAGTGGTCTTAAGACAGGGTGACAGCGTGCTGGTCAAAACAAATTCAGCTTTTAAAGCATTTCCAGGAAAAATAGATTTGTCATAGTATTGGAAACCGGAATGTGTGAGTGCCTTTTGCGCTTCCCTTAACATAACCTCCATCTGAAACGAAGAGTTGCTGGCATTGGCCCTGGTGCCCTGACCTGCTGGTGTTAGATGGAGCTTGAGACTGATTGTTTCCCTTTTTCCCTGGCTTCTTGATTTCCCCTTTCTGGAAACAACTTTAAAGTAACTCTGCAAAGAGCTGTAGTGCAGGGAGGTGATCAGGTTTATTGGTACTGCTCGAGGTCAGTTGCAGTCGGTGTTTCTGTGGCCCAGGTGCTGTTTCTCGGCGAAGGGAAGTGCCAGAGATGGGCTTGGTCTGCGCGGTGGAGAGACCTGGCGGCACCTTGCTGGTGCCTCACTGCTGAGGATAGATCCCAGCCCTCCTGTTAACGGCCAACGGCTGCTCCTGGCCTCCATTTTATTAATGGGTCCCTCTAATTAGCGGCACAATTTAATAAGTTTATTTAATGCTAAATAATCCTTAAAGAAAGTCACCTCCTGTTCAAAGGAAGCAAAGGGCTGGTCGGCTGGAAAGAGACTGATGGCCAGAATGTTGCCCTTTGTTTGCCCCATTTTGCACTGCTTGAAGAAGTTTCCAGTGACGCCCGTAGGGTTGGGGCATCCTTCGACCCTGGGGCAACAAAGATGAGAGACCTTGGAGAAGCCTTACCTTCCCCCCGTCAGCCCCTGCCTTCACCAAGCTGCTGCGTTGCATCCAGGTATGAAGGTTCCCGTTTTGGTGTAATAAAGCTGAATTGTAGCAGAGCTGAGGGGCTCAAACACAGCATGATCCTGTGGTGCAGAATGCTTTATTCTTTTGCTCGTGTTTTCGGTGAAAACAGCAACGGGCAAAAGGAAATCTTATTTCTGTTGTGCTGCTGATGGAAGTTAGTAGTGATGCTCCCTGACTGATCTGTAGCAGCGGTAGGACCAGGAGAAAAGTTCAGATCTTCTGGCAAAAGGTTTAGTGTAATACACGAAATGCCACTGTTGTTCAAACCCGAAATATTAAAGGTCTTTTTTTTTTTTTAAATCAGCCAGTTTAAGGGAGGAGGAAAAAGTCTGTAGAGATCTGCAGTGAAGACAGACAAGAAAATTATTAGATTTTGACTATTTAATTAAATAAAAACTTAGCAATATTTACTGATGAAGTCTTAGGGTGACTATTGTCTTCTTTGTAGCTTTCTAAAATTTCCTGTGATCCCATTTTGGTTCAAGGGGATGGAATGCAGCCCTGTTTCACTGCTGCCCAGGAGACGCGTCGCTCTGATTTTATTCTAGCCGTGAAGATATTCTTGACGAGATTGTATATTCCCATCGTGCACATTAATTTAGTGGGAGGCACTGCTCTGTTTTATGGGGTGGAAAAAAAATCCGCATTTGTTTTGAGTGTCTGTTAGGTAGAATTCAGTTAAGGTGAAGCCTAAAGCAGAGTGAAGAGTTATCAACCAGCAGGTGCCATTAATAGGAAATCGTGCTGATTTTATTCAGTATTTTTCCTTATTTGCAGTAAAATGACTGCAGTTACAGTTAAATTGTACTCAATAGATGTAAAAGGGGAAAATACGTACGTGGCTTGTCAGGGTTCAGCCCCCTCCCTGGTGTGAAGAGGGAGGTGGTGGAACAGAACATCAGCTTTCGGTCGTGCAGCGAGCTCAGTCTGTCCCAGCCCTGCCTCTCTGTTAGTCCCTGTCTTTTAGAGGAAAATTGGAGAAGGAACTAACCTTTAGGTTGTTGCAACAAGGAGCTGCGTCGTTTCTTCTTTTCCTTCCCCAAACCAGAGAGAAATCATAACTGGCATCAAGTAAATCACTCCCAGTTCTCTCCATCTGCCTTCTGTCAGAGCTCTTGGAGAGGTGTTCAGTGAAACGTGGAAGGAGTGATCTTTCACTTAAGTTACTGTGGCTTAATTTTCTAAGTAATTTGCACGGTAAATAGACAGTAAGTCTGTCTGCCCGGGGTGGTGAGTGACTTGCTGAGTTTGCACAGTCCTTGAAATGGGTTGGAGACACCATGTTCCGTACATCTGGAGCATTGTTTCTCTGATGGATTTAACTTGTTGTGCTTGTACAAGAAGTTGTCTTGTTCAGGCGTGGGATTGTGTTACAAAATGCAGCCTCTTCTGTTCCGTGCGTGAGCTTCCGGAGTTGATTATAGGATGTATATCTGTGTCATAATTGGTCAGCGGCTGCAGCGGAACAGACTGCCAAGAGCTGTTACGGTGAATTGAAATGCGAAAGGGATATTTAAATACAGCCTTGCAGCATTAAGACCACTCTTTCTGGCATCTTGGGCTAACGAGTGGCCTGCTCCGTGGCAAGGGCAATCCCGTACCACAGCGATTGCTGCCAGACCTGTCGCGTGTAGGAAAAAATATTCAGAGCGCAATTTGGGACAAAAGGGTGAGCTTCTGAATTTGGTCGTGTTTGCTCAGCTCTGCGGTCGTAGCTTATCAGCTAGAGCAAATATTCCCCATTACATCACCCTCCTTTTCCAGCGGCAGTGTCGAGAGTTATCAAATTAGAGCTTTTTATATTCAGGGTGAGAATATGCAAAGACAAATCTAATGGAGTCAATAGCACAGCAGTCGTCTTATTGCTGAGCTGGAGAGAGTAATAAAATATATATGCTGTCGATATTTTGGTCCTGAACTATTGTGAAAGTATTGACCTGCAGCAGAAGTACAGTATTGACTCTCTTTGTTCTATGCGAGTCAAGTGTTTGGCTGCAAACTTTATGCGTTTTTTGACGGGGTTTAGGGAGAGTGTGGGATGCGTCTGCTTTCCTGGCTCTGCCGGCGGATCGCCAATTTATTTCAGGTCAGAGAACGCGCAGGTTGCTGCAAGGTAGTTTGAAACGGCATCTTTGTTATCGCAGCTCACACGTTGGCCCGTTTCATTTGTTTTGCTCCTTGTGCCCTCCAGGCGTGCAATATAATCTTTGAGCTGGTTGTTAGGACCAAATGGTCTGGGGTTTAGCTGCTTTGCTGCAGGCAAAGTCCGGTAGGAAGCCCAGCAGGGCCCGTGTTCCCATTTTGCATGAGTTGGTCTAATGATGTTTTCCCCATTAACATTTGGAAGAAAAATCTAATGTGTTGGGGTTGCGGGAGGAAAGAAATCTGTTTGAGGGTTGTCAGCCGGGGAGATAACTGCTGGTCGGAGGTGGACCACCAGCGAACATGGCAGATATGCCTGGAATGTCCACCTTCAGTAAAACGTGTTGTGATTTACAAATAAATAAATATTGTTGGATGCCACAAGGTTGCTTAACAGACCTATTCCTTTAACAGGTCTCCGTGTAAGTGGGCTCCATGGAGCACAGATAAGAGACACAGAGAGAAGTATGTGCGAGCGATTCAATGCTGCTTGAAATTTCTCTTCTCCCCCTCTCCCCCTGCCTTTTTTCTTTTTTTCTTTTTTTACTACTTTGGGCTTAATTTGGTAAGGAGGGAGGTTAGTTGCAGGGATTTGGATTTGGGCAGGCAGGATTTTCTCCCATGACTCTCAGCATGGGGAGACGCGGATCAATTCCCTATCCTGTGTTCAGCTGGACACTGGGCTGTGGTGTGTGTTGATCAAGAAATCCCCTCCTGTTTTGTACCACATAACACATTCATTTCAGCCACTGAACCTAAATTACTGTTTTGCTTTTCTTTCTTTTTTGATGAAATGGTAAGAACTCTTTTTCTATAGGGATGAAGTTAGTTTATCCGTGCTAATGCTTTGATTTTTTTCCCCTTTTTTCTCTCTCTGCCACAGTAGGTAACCAGTTAGGGGCCCTGGTACATCAAAGGTAAGCAGTGGGTTATGTTTTATTATTTATTGATCAATTCTAATTGTTTATTGATCCACCATCTGTAGTAGTGTTAGGAAGGCAGAGGCTGAGAATGTGGAGAAACTGTCAGCTTGAGTTTTCTCTAGGCTGGGCTTTCTGCTAACCCTTTAAGGTTGGTTGTTGTGATGTAGAAAGAGTGGATGTGAAACTTGGATTTGGTTCCTGCAGGACCGAGAAGAATAAATTCTCTCTGCTCTCCCTTCCCCTGCCCTGACAGGTGGGGGGAAAAAAGAAAAAGTTAAAATAACTCTGGCGTTTTGACAAAAGTTGGAAGTATTAAACAGGTGCGGAGATTTTTATTATTTTTTAGTTTTGTTGATGTAATATGGCCTGAGTTTAATTCTTTGACAAAGAGGGTTTCAGGAGACAGAAGCAAATATGAGTTGTAACGCAGCACGCCTTAGCATCTTGTACAAAATTCTTTTGTTTTTCTCAATTCCTATTGTTAAGGAGTTGTCCTTCTGTTCTTGAGGTTGGTTTTTTTTTGAGTAGGCAAGATTGTGTCCCAAAATAGGCAGCAGAGACTGTGGCTTGGAAGGTCTAGGCTAAACATTAGAGAAACTTTGCTGCTATTCCGTGAAGTCTGGCTGGAGCAAGAATTACAAAAAGAGGTTCTTCAGTCGGCTCTGTTGAAGATAGTGGAGAGTGGACTGGGGATGTATCCAGCGCAGGAGAAATGAGGTGACCTCGAGAGGTCCCTTCCAAAACTGGTGATTTTGACTGTGATGTTTTCTTGTGTGTGCAAAAGCCTTATGCTGTGCCTCGTTTCAGCGGCAGGGACGTAATTGTCTTCCAAATTGTTCTTTGTGATGACTATTTGATTTTTTTTTTCTTTGTTTTTTATTTTTTTTCCCCCCAGGGCTGTAATAACAGAAGAGTTCAAAGTGCCTGATAAAATGGTTGGATTTAGTAAGTACCTTGGATGCTTTTGATGTTTCTTGGTGTGTTTTCAGTGTGGGAATGCTGTGTATTCTGATGCACTTACAAGTTTTTCTGCTTACTAGCCTTGGCTGAGTCTTTGCTGATGCTGTCTTCATGGTGACCAGATGATCTGTGTTTAGAATCCGAGTGCAAAGTGCGTGATAAACCTTGGTGTCCCAGTAGTAAGAGCAAGACTGTGGTACAAGTTGCTGAGAGTTTTAGTGATTCTCTCCTTTAAATTCCTGCTAGCACAATACATAAACAAGTGAATTTATTTCTCCTCACTGAAGCATTTTATTTCCTTTAAATATGCAAAATTGTGAGAGTTGAGGGAGGTAAAACAACATTTAAACGTTAAAATAAGAGTTGACTCAGGGCGAGTAAAACAGACTTTTAAATCTCATACATTTACCGTAGGGAGGCACAACCAGCGTGCATTGCTCAGATGAGAATTTTTCTTAGATTTGCGTTCCTGATACTGTTCTCTTTCAAGCTTGATCCTAATTTCTCTCTTCCTCTTGGTGATTATTACTCTTCCTTTCAATTGGCACCTCCTGCTGCTGTGTTACCGCAGTGATTGCCCAGACTCCTCCGCCGCCAGATCTCTGCGTACCTCTTGCAATTTGATATATGGAGAGGAAAAAGAAAAACAGCAGCCTCTGAGAATTACCCCTTAGTGCCTGAAGTTTTATCCCGACTCTAAAGATGCTATAAAATGGTACCTCAAATTCCTGCAGAGGAAATACTCTTCTCCTGCCAGACTTCTTCATTTTTCAGCCCTGGTACCACACGAGGGGTGCTGTAGCTCAGCGGGAGGGAGCCTGCGTGCCCTTGGTGCCGCATCTCCGTGTTCAATCTAAGCCTGGTTCAGGGACAGACAAATGCAGGAGGGTGGCAAACCTGCAGCTATGAGAGATGCTTCTGTGAGAGCATCTTGAGCCAGGCCCACCTGTCTGAGCTGGCAGTTTTTGCTCTTTTGGCAGCCTGGGAAGGAGGTGAGTGGTGATGGGCACAGTCTCTGCTCGGTGTGTTTCGTTGTGAAACAAGGCTGTGCCAACTCCGGGAGTTAAGGGACATGGCTATTTGGTTTCACTTAAAGGTTGATGGAGTGTTTCACTTATGTGGCAGTTCTGATGTACTCAGAACTCAAGCAAATAGCATGCCCATTGAAAAGACGCAGTAAAATATGAATTTTAAAGAAATAAAAGTCTTTGCCCTTTTCAGTACCTCAAATAACTGGTTTATTGATTCAGGCTGAACAAGATATACTTAAATGGCTCTTCCAGCAGCACTCAAACTAGTGTCTTATTTCTTGCATACTATGCATTCCCCTTCCAGTGCAAAACAGGGTTTTTTGGTTTTCCAAGCAAATAGAATAACTTTCAGCAGTATTTTAATGTTTTTCTGCTATGATGAGCTTGGTCATGCTGTGGATGCCTCTTCTGCAATCCTGGAGTCAAACTGTTTCTTTATAGATAGCTGCAGCGGAGTAAAAGGGGGAAGGTGCTCTGCAGTTACTTGGAAAAATGGTGTGTTCTGATGCTTGTTGAACTCGTTTCAGTAATCGGCAGGGGAGGAGAACAGATCTCACGGATTCAGATAGAGTCTGGCTGCAAAATTCAAATCGCTCCAGGTAAGAGCCTCTTTGTGTGGCGGGTGAACAGGTTTTAGTGTTGAAGGATGTTGTGCCCGTTAGATCAGGCCCCTCGCCATGCTCGGGACGGGTTACTTCGTTAGCAGCTGATCCTTGCGAGGCTAACGTGCAGGGGGGAGCTGTTGTGGGGCTCACCCTCCTGACTGGCAGAGAAAACAGGTTTTTCAGGTGGTTTGGGGAGCGAAACAATTGAAGAACAATCTTTAACCAGCAGATGGGTACAGTGCAAATGGACAATCCGTACTCTACTTAGACCTGAAGTTGCAGCTGTTGAGTTTTCTCCTGGTAGTAGCATTTCCTTCAGCTCTGCAATCTGTCTCTGATTAATCTGGTCAGCTCCAACTCCTGGCAAAAGATATTTTGGGAGGGTGGCAGCAACTCTTTGTACGCCTTGCCTTGCATTACAAAAAATGGGATCGTCCATCTGTGTTGTGCTTGTGCTTTGGGGGACACCATACTACAGTACAGTACAGGAAACCGTTGATTAATGTAATCTAAGTTCTTAGCCCTCCCTTTAATTGATGGGGAAGGCTTTAGAAGAATGCAGACATCCAGCAAATCACTTAAAATATGTTGACCCTGGATGATTTTGAATTCATTCATGTGCTCTCTGTGTGGGGAAGGTGGCTGCTTCGGCTGATAGTTAATGAAACGGCTGCCATGTTATTAATTCCGTGTGTTAAAAGTTTCCTTCTTGTTTCCTTTGTAGACAGTGGTGGGATGCCCGAGAGGCCCTGTGTACTCACCGGGACGCCAGAGAGCATTGAGTGAGTTCTGATTCCATTTCTCTCCTGTCTCCTTCTCTCTCTTCTCCCTAACGCTGTGCTCTGTCAGTGGTGCTACTCCGTTAGCCACACCAGCAAATGCTGGCCTAGAAAAACTCGAGGGTCTCTGGAGCATAGAACCTCTTGGTCTGATGCTTTAAGCTGTGCACCTCAAAGGCTTTTTTTCAGTTGCAGTTTGAACCCTCTGCAGAAATTTCCGTGGAATTTCCCTCCGCAGGGCAAGGTCACTCTTAGAGTACCTAGGATGCAGTTTGCTAACTGCTGCTTTCCAGGATACTGAGCTAAGCTGTTGAAGGGCACTTCTTGTCTCCCCTTCGCTTCCCTACTCCTATCGAGATGACCATCCTTCCAGCTGAAGAAGGGCTTCATGAGGCCTCCAAAGCCTCTCGGTGCCACTCCAGAATTACCTGGAGGTGTTGGTGTTGTGGCAGAGCAGCATGAGGCCCACGGGTGTGCTTGCCTCTGCATCGCTGCCAACAAGAAGCAAAGGACTGAACCAAAGTCTTGAATTCTGATCCTTGCATGGTAGAGACACGTGGCCAGCCAACAGGGATTTCTACTTTTTAGACCTATAGAAACTTTAGGGACAGTGTTTCCTCCCTCCCCCTTCCCAGGAGCTGAGTTTGAGACTCTCACAAACCAGTTGAGGACCTCCTGCTGGAACTGGATCCAGGATCCTCAGGCTTACAGGAACACACTTAACATATGGAGCTGCTCTTTCTCTCCCCAGCCTTTGGGTAGGTGGGTTTTTTAAAATCCATCTGGAAATCTTTGAGTTGCGTTTGATAGTGAAAATACATGGGCGCAAAGACTGTCTCTCTAAAGAGAGGAGACTCATCATTCTTCCATTCCTAACAGATCTAAGGGTACCTAAATCTCCTTATTCTACTGTAATGCTGCAAGCAGTGAGCTAGAATAAATATAATAAATATAATATAGGGCAGGCAGTGTATTCTTGCCAATATTCAAGTGGTTTTTCCCCTTTAGCAAAGCGTGTTTCGGAGCAAGAGCGCAAAATATTAAAAAGCTAGGATGCCTGATGCGATGCATTTGGGGGAAGATGGGGGAGAGGTGTGGTTAAGACTTCACAAGTCTGAAATAAGCAGTTAAATGTAGTCATGTCCAAGGCTGTCTTTAAATATAAATAAATTTTAAAAAAGAAAAACAAGATTACTCGATTTGTGAAGCAGCACAAGGTGTTGAGGGCATGGAATTAAGTGAAATTTAATTTACTTTTCTGCTAAATTGTTTTTTGGAGTTGGTTGGTTGAACTTTTTTTTTAGTCTGCTTGTAGAAAAAGAAAATAAAGGAACCAATCTAGGTGTCAGACTTGTTTATGAGGGTTGTTTGCATTAGTTATTTTGAGTGGCAAACTAGTAGGTTTGGCTTCCAAATGCCCCCTTCACATCTGACACACGTTGTGTATTAACTCTTAGTCTCTATATTATCACTAAAAGAACTTCATGCAAAATACGAAGGTAGATGGATAAAACCCCTCAAGAGTCTTCCAGAATATTTGAAGCGGGCTTCCAATAATTCCACCTTTTCCCTTGCTTTGTGAGAAAGTCAGGAGAAGGCGATGCTCTGATCTGTGTGCTGCCTCAGATCACCACCCCCTGAGCGGTCTTGGGTGAATGTCTGACTTTGTGCTGTTTCTTCTAATGGCCAGAGAGAGAAGACAGTGCCCCTAGGGTGCCTGCTCTGGCTTGGTATGAAGTAGAGCAAGGTGAAGATGCTGCTTTAGACCAAGTAGGGAACTGGTGACTTTTCTGCTACCTGCTTGGAGAAGGTTCTGGGAGAAGGGCAGGAAAGGGATGTGTTGGCATTAGGAGTCTTCAAGATGAAGAGAAACCCTTTCAGTCACCTCTGACATGCTAAAGATTTTAAGAGAAGGGGTCTTTAATCTCCCAAATGCCTCTTTGTGTGTCTCTTCTCACCAGGAGTAGAAGAACATGGTCTTTCAGTGGTTGCTGCTGCAGTGTCCTTGCCTGGCTTCGCGATGTGGCTTCGGCACCTACTGCTTGGGGCAGAGGCTCTGGTAGAGCAGTCTTGTGGGGCTGCTGGGAAGAGCAGGCAGAGAAGAGCGAGGCACTTGCTTGTGACTGGTTGGGGAGTGGTTTAACCAGTGTACTGTGTAGTGTCAGAGCAATGTGGGGTTTTTTGGCTTGACCGAGAAGGGGAGCACAGCTTGAGCTTTACCAAATATCATGTATGTGTTAAAGTTTAGACAAGTTGAGAACTTAGAGCATCTTCATTCAAAATAAGCACCCCAAATTCTATAGCTCAACCATTATCCTTAACTTGCAAAGAGGTCAGAGCGTGCTGCTGCTCTTCCTTCTATCTTCCCCTTTCAAACCCCAAACTGCTTACAAGTAATCATGATAGGGGAAAACATGCATCAAAGAGTTAAAAAAAAAAAAAAAGCAAACATTGTGCTAACTATGGTTTCCTCCATCTTCTCACTTCTTCTCCTCTCCCCAATCGCTTCCCATTCCGATGGTTCCTGGTCTCTCGGTCACGTGGAACAATGTTGTCTAATGGCTGTTTCCCTCGATTCTTTTCCAAAGACAAGCAAAACGGCTTCTGGGGCAGATTGTAGATCGCTGTCGGAACGGACCTGGTTTTCACAACGATGTTGATGGCAACAGTACGATTCAGGAGATTTTGATCCCGGCATCCAAAGTGGGTCTAGTCATCGGCAAAGGAGGTGAAACAATAAAACAGTTGCAGGTGCGCAAGATGCATTTACTTTAGGGCTCTCTTCCCTACTGCAGCTTCTCTAGATCAACAAGAGCCTACTGAAATGGAGAGCCTTAAATGCTCTAACCTTCTGCAGCAGGGACTACTCTTCTGCCTTCGGACAGCTGGACTCAAATCCAATCTTGTGATACAAACAAAATCGGTTTGGCCCCAGCTACGCATGTGGTGGAGTTTTGCCCGAACTGTGAAAGAAACTAGTGTGCTTTAGATAACATTTGGTGCGTGCTGTTTAGAAGGGGATCCTTGTAGCCAAGAGAAGGCTCTGCCTAGTCTGCTGCTGCAATAGTTTTTAATGCCAGCCATGCTGTTGTAGAGTGCAGTGCTTCTCTTGTGATGCTGATCTGTGGTAAAGCTGGCGTGTCTTTTTTTATTATTTTTTTTTCCCCTCATCCCACTCCTTTCGAATTAAAAGTGTTGTGTTATGTATAATTCTGTTCCGAGACATTCTTTATTCCTCCATCTGGTATGAGTTTTTTTAAAGAAGAGAGAGTTTCAGAAAAGCACCTAGGTCAAAACTGTAGATTTTTTGAGTGCCCTGATTAGGCCTCTCTCATCCAATAATGCTAAAGCTGGTCACTTAACTATTATATGCAGACAGCTACGGATTTTGGAAAGGGCTGAGAAAGCAGTTGTTGAGGTAGAGGGGTTCTCTTTGCAAGGGATTCGGCTGTTTGAGAACTTCGGGAGTTGCACACTTTCTGGCAGTCCTTTGCACTCTGGGACTGTTGCTCAATTTGTGCTCTACCTAACTATGAAGGGCTAAAGTACCATTCTGTAAAGCTGCTGATTTGACCTACGTGGTGTTTAGTAACCAAAATATAGTCCCTTGTTTTAGGGACTCTGCTTAGCAAAGTGCTCTGTGCTTTTTCTTCAGGAGCGAACAGGTGTGAAAATGATTATGATCCAAGATGGTCCCTTGCCTACTGGAGCAGATAAACCTCTACGTATTACTGGAGATGCATTTAAAGTACAGGTATGTAATAAAAGTAAGCAGTTGCCCCAGAGAACTAAGGAGAAATTTTAACTGTGGCGTATTTGTGAGCATCTAATGGAGTCAAATCCACCTGTAAATGTAATGATCCTTGCTGGTTTTGTTTGGTCTGTAAGGTTGACGAAGTTTGAGTAGAGCAAGTTAAAATCCCAGACTAGCAAGCGTTGGCTTGTTCACAGTGTAACCCAGGAGCTCTCACCCCACATAGGTGTTAGATGTGGAGAGAAGAGCTGAGGAGGAAGGTTTGGAGAAACGAGCTCTGAAATGCTTTCCAGTCTGTGTAGCAAAAAATCATGGCTATATGTTACTAGAGCAAATGGGTTCTTAGTGACTAACTTAAGCACACATCTGAGAAAGTTTTATCAAAGGGTCACTGTCTCAGACAGCCAATTGACGCAGGTAATTAAGAAATATAATCCCATGACAACTCCTGAAACCAAGGGGTTTTCTTAATATTTGTACCTCGGTCTTCTTGTGTCAGGGTTCTACAGATGTGTTCATACCTGCGGTTCAAAGCAAAAACCCATGATCAGCCAGAGACTGGAAGATTGCAGGATGGTGGGAGCGCTTGAAGTAAACAAAGTTTAGCTGTGATGTCTTCCACTTCTCAGGAAGTGCTTTGCATACCTTGTTAAGTACTTAACTCTAGCTTAGCATTCCTGTCTCTGGTAAAAATAGTTCCGTTTTATAGGATCTCCCTGATCATAAATGCTGCGACAGTTGATGTTGCTCAGGGACAGTATGTTTGGGTTGTATTTTTCAATCTTCTTATTGTAAGTGGGCTTGTAGGTTTATTTTTATTTTTTTCCAAAATTTCTATGCTTATTGTGGAGTTACGTGCAAAAAAGGAATGTCATGACAGTCTTGCTACTTTTAACCAGCTCGTACTTCAAGTGCTGCTGCTTCACAGGTGGCTGCTTCTGCCTTGCGAGATTTGCTCTTGTCACATCTTCCGTGCCATAAAATCGTGCCAAGCAATCATGGGAGCTGCAGGACTGCATAGGGTGGGAGATCTTTGAGGCACTTAGAAAAGTTGAGCGCGCTTAGAAAACACTTTAAGAAGCTCAGTGAATCCTCGAGTTTGATGGGATTCTCTGGATGCTGCAACAGCGTTTAATTCTTTCGAATCCCTGTGAAATCTCGCCATTGCCCTTTTCTCTGTCTCGGCATCTCTGAAATGTCTTTGAGTTGTTGGTAAAAACTACCCACGGGGGCATGGAAAATGTGTAAAAATAGAAAAGGAGTCAGATTCAGCAGAGTCCCTCAAACTTGGATGTAGAACCAAAATGTCAAAAGCTTGACTGGTGATATGTAGAAACAAAGGCTTTGGTTTGCACATGTAGGCGTTTTTTAATGATGACTACTGTTGGCTTGTTTCCAAGGTACACTTACACTAACTGGGCTACATGCAAGCTTGTGAATGGCCTTGAGGGCTGCAAGTAGGTAGGAAGAATATTCATTTGTCTCAGAAAATGTCTTGCTGGACTGCTGCAGACTTGGGCTTAACTTTTCTGAGTGTCAGTAAGCTCACTGCTGCCCACCTGCCTCCTTGGTACATGCTTTCTAGCTCTTAGTGGACATGATCTCTGCTATGCTACCACAGCTTCTACCTTACTGTATTGGTTTCGGTCCTATTTGATAGGAAAGGGCCTTCACTTCCTTTAATTTAAAACCGAAACAGCCCCCCCGAAAAAGAAATCAAAGATATTTTAAATTTTTGAAAGACTGAAGGAAGCGATTGCACGCAAGAAACTGCCACCTTGCACACTTGGCAGGTTTTGTCAGGCTTGGAAGATGCCATCAAGACCAGATCTCCATCGACTGTGGTAAAAGAAATCCGAAATCAGACTGCTGTTTCTGTTAAGCAGATGGAGATCGCTTTGCCTGAAGCCTGGCCGTTAGCCCCTGTTGAGGCCCTAACACCAGGATGGCAAGCAGAATAATTTTAAGCTAACTGTAACTTCTTTCCCCATGTAGCAAGCGAGGGAAATGGTACTGGAGATCATCCGAGAGAAAGATCAGGCAGACTTCCGAGGCGTACGCAATGATTTCAGTTCTAGAATGGGAGGAGGCAGCATAGAGGTATGTTTTCTTCACGAGTACTCTGCTAACCTCCCCGTGGGATGGGCAGTGGGTGGAAGTCATCAAATTGCACATGTAACCTGTAAGCTTCTTTGTAAATGCACTGTGTTCTCTTGCCAGAAGAGAGAGTCTGGCCACAAGAAGAGGAGTTCTCATGGACTCCCAGGCGGCGCTTTTCTAATTGTCTTTTTAAGCTGCATTCTTGTAGTGCAGAGCTCACTTAGCGGTGAAGGAATTTGTGGCCAGATGTTTGCTTTTCTTAAGTGATAGGTAGCCTGAAGCTGCCTGACGTGGCCTGTCCTCATGGTTAAGAGCATCTCCTTGTAAAATCAGAGTAATTCAGTCTAGTTCTCTGAGCTTTCATACTGCTTTGCCTTTCCCATCAGGTCTCTGTGCCCAGGTTTGCTGTTGGAATTGTGATAGGAAGAAATGGAGAAATGATCAAAAAGATTCAGAATGATGCTGGAGTTAGGATTCAATTTAAACCAGGTTTGTGTGAGGATGGAGAGCTGCTCCTTTCTGACTGGTGTTCCAGTTTGGGATCTGAGGTTACAGCGACTAGGCTTTTTGACTTTAAAAGTGCATGGTGTCTCTTCTTGAAATCCTTTTAAATATGTTGTGCTGCTTTCTCGTGCACTTTCTGGTTTTCAGAGAGTAAGATTATATATAGTACGTTTGCAAGCATTGGGTGTCGCAACAGTCATGTCTTGAGTGGCAATTATATGGATAAACAAAATAACAATAAACCTTTTATTTCTTTTTAAAGAATTCTCCTTTGGGACATTAAAGCCTTTGGGGATCAGGAGTTGATTAATTCTAAGTCACTTTCTCTGGGTCCTTGGCTGTCTGATCACCTATCAAAGCTGCCTTTGTCCTCTTAAAATTATATCAGTCTCTTTCATGGCTTTTTGACATTTGAAAGTGTTGCCTTTTGAATGTTGTTCCTTCTGCAATGTGGGTTGGGTTTTGTCATCTTTCAGTCCGTGGAAGAGAGGCTGAGTGTGGAGGGAAGAGGTAGCTCTTGGGGTACTTATGCGCAAATGCTGCTAGCAGCGATGACGCTAGAAGGAAGCTTTTGTTGGCGGCGGGTGGATGTTTTCTCCTTTTAATTTAGTCTTTGCCACCTCTCTTCACAGATGATGGGATTAGTTCGGAAAGAGTCGCACAGGTCATGGGGCTTCCCGATAGGTGTCAACACGCAGCGCACATCATCAGTGAGCTCATTCTCACGGCACAGGTGGGTTCTGGAGACTCTCAGGAGGAAAGTGCTTACATGGAGCGTGGTGTGCGTGCACACAGCTGCGTGGATGGGTGAAGAACAGCCGCGCTAAATTTCCCCTCTGGTAGACCACACGTCCTGCTGCCCAAGACATAGCTGCTGGGTTTGGGATTTGTTTATTTGTTGGTTTTGGTTTTTTAATGCTGTATGGGCTGACTGAGCTCCAGGAAGGTCTCCTGTTCTCCGGCCTCATCACAACTCCACGTTTACCCCACGTACGTGGTCCCTGTGCTTGGAGACGGACACCAACGTACGGCATTGCCCAAGAGCGAGTCGTAGGGCAGACTCATGAAGGAGGTTGTTTATTTCTATTACATTATGAGAAGTGAAGATATTAGGCCATTCCAGACCAGATACCTCAGCGCAATTTGTCCACCTAGGGTAGATCTTGATATCTCTTCTTTGCCTGAGATCTGGTTTAAATACTTGATTTCTTAAATTTTTTTTATAGTCTGCTTAAATGTTGAGATCTATCATGACAGGCTCTTGACTGCACATGACCTTTGCTTTTGGAGAAATCAGTTGCCCAAGATAGGTATGTCCTTTAAGTGTCTTTGAACTTAAAAGCTTTCTTTGGAAATTTTGGAAAATGTGCATTTCAGCTGAGTAATTCCAGCAGTTCTTTAAAGAATGACACTTGAAAGGGTTTGGAAGCAACTTGTGTGTTTCTCAGTGCCAAGATCTATTGGTTACTCTGAGAAAAGCCCCCATCATAAACTAAAAGTCCTTTAGTAGTTGATGGTTGTTTATAGGTTTACTTCAGCAGATGTAAAGGCATGCATTTAAAAAATATAAATATCTTCCTGAGTCAGGAAGGCAGCTGTAACCTGCATCGCTTGGCATGTCTTTAAAGTGCTTCAGAATCTCGGAACGTGAAACTGAAGCCCAAGAGTATCTTAATTCAGTGCCATCGATTATGATGCAGTTTAACTTACCTTGCTTTATTTTGTTTCTAACACGGACTGGGGCCAGCAAAAAAAAACCAACACACTGATACTCATCTTTTGCCTTCCAAGGAACGAGATGGCTTTGGAAGCTTGGCTGTGGCCCGCGGAAGAGGTCGTGGCCGTGGGGACTGGAGCGTTGGAACGCCTGGGGGCATGCAGGAAATAACCTACACAGTGCCAGCCGATAAGTGTGGCCTCGTTATAGGCAAAGGTAGGTCTGGTGACACTAAATACCAGAGCTTGCAATCTTTCGCTCTCGGGATGGTCGTGTTCTTGCTGCCTGGCAGTGAGGCTGTGGAGTTTTCTGTAATTGCAGGTATTTCGTGGCTGGTGAATCCAGCACAGGAGTACGCTCTAAGCGCTTGTGGTGGTTTTCTTTGTGGTGCTCTCACTCATAATTGTACTCTCCGGGCCCTTGTTCACAATCTGTAAGAGAGGCTCTTCATGCAGAGCTGTCAAGTAAGCTTGTTGTAACAAGCAGGTGGCTGAGAAAAGGCAAGTTCATTTGTGGATTCTTTTCATAGAGAATTCATTTAAAAGACAGTTTATCAGGCACGAGCAGAACCGTCATTTCGTCGTGCTGGATTTCTGCGAGTGCCATGTGATAAAATGGAAGGTCTCCAAATGTGGTAATAACAGTCGCTGCTTCCAGCCACAGACCTGAAGTGTCTGATGAATGAAGTAGCAGGATTTTTCTGTGCAGAGCAGGTTGGCACACCTGGTCATGTTCAGACGAGCATGTTCTCTGCCGTGGAGGCCCTTTGGCTGCCTTCGTTGTCGAATCTCGCCATGCTAAGGAGATGGACAAAGAGTCCTCTGGCCTTCTCAAGAACCACTGGAACCCCGAAACAATCGTGAAACCGGAGTGTGCGCAGCAGCCTGGGTCTGTCGTAGAGCACGAACTGCACGTTGGGCATCGGCAGTGCGTAGAGCTGGGAATGGAAGAGCGCAAGGGCTCTGAATCCTTGCAGCACTTCTGAGTTAATATGCTGGCCTATCAAAGGACTTGTATTTATTTTTCTGTCTGCTTATTTCAGAAAGAATGATGTATGCCTTAACTAGCATTTAAGTAATCACAGTTAGCTTTTAGCCTCGCTAGAGGTGAGGAGAATAGAAGAGGGAAAATTAGCTGTGGCAGTGAAGGAGGCAGAGACTGGAGGGCACTGTGCCACGTTTCGGTGGTGTTTAGTGTCCCCCTGTCCTGTTGGGCAGGTGTCAGCT